TATTATATAAATTTAACTTAATTCGATATAGAAAAAATTTGTTAAAAATCTTATAATTAATTTTCATTGAAAAAATAAAATTGTTTTTTAAAATTTTATTTGAATAAAGGAAATTATGTATAATCAATTTTTATAAAAAAAAGTTAAATATTAATCTTAAATATTAGTTAAAGTTCAATTTGATAAACTTTTGAAATAATTCGATGAATTGATGTTAGAACTTATAGAATTAAAATTGTTTAATTAAAAAAAATATTTTTTCAAAAATATATCAATTTTAACAAAGCACAATTCGTAACTCATATATTTATTCAAAAGAAGAATTCTCCATTCTCTTGCATATTATATTATAAATATTTCTTTTAGAGGCAACAATAGAATATAAATATGTATATTCATGAAACGAATCTAAAAACGAAAACAAATACAAAAGTTGGTATATCAAAATATTGGTTAACTATATTTATATATAATTCAAATTCTTGTATATTTCTATTTTTAGAACATAATTAAAAATTTTTAGACTAATAAATAAGAATATAAGTAAATAAATCTTATCTATTTATGAATAAAGATATAAATAGAGACTTATAGTTAATTCAGATGATGCTATTTTTTAATCAATTAGATTATTTTATCGAATGTATAATAACAAAATTTCAATTCTATCTTCTTTGAAAATCCAACTCTCATTTCATTATTGATTTCATCATATATATACCTATTTCTAGCATGATTATTTTGAATTTTTATTTTAATATAGATCTAATTTTTTATTTCACAAAGTGAGCCTTCATTTTACCAACGTTTATAATAATTACATTAATTTTCCATTTCTCATTGTTCCCATCATTTATATTCATATAATATCAAATAACTTATTCTATAGATTATTTCTATTTTTAAAAATTTTTTATTTTATCATCAATCTAATCAACATCATACGACATCATTAACGAATTCATGGAAACTTTATTACAAGTATCATACAATCTTATTGCGCGTGGGCGCTACACCAACGTGGCGATATATTTTTTGCCACATGTACTCTTTCTCGCGAACGATTCAACCGTGAGTCTCGTTAATTGGACGTCCCCGTTAATTTATACGATCACGCCAGTCGCCAGTATGTGACGTTTCGTTCCGCCGGCTTTTATACGCACCATGTAATTCAAGCCTCCTTTACGAGCAGGAACCATGCTTAGAACCGAAGATATATTTCATCGAGCCGTCGTCACGTGTTTCTCCCTCGAACTTCAGTTTCACTCTACGAGATGGAGCTCTATGAAATGGGCTTGCGCCATGTCATTGTGCACTGTTAAATTTATTTCTTTATTTAGTTTGTGCAACTTATACTATCATAGCGTCAAAATAAGTACACACATGACTTCTCTTGTTGGGAGAGAAGAAGATGACATTCCGTAAAAATAAATACTTTAATTGATGATAAAAACCGCATTATTTTTTTAAAAGATATGGTAAATTGTTAGATTGTTTTATATGAAATGACTTCTGTGATTGAATTTGATCTACTATAACTAAAGCATTACAATGCACAAATATTTCTAATCTAATTAAATGAATACTTCATTGTTTCGCTTTTATTAAA